CTGTTTTCAAGCCCACCTTTCTAATTCTGATCAACCCCAGGAGGTCTGGGCTCACCTGGATTTCCATGACTTAAATTAGCGCTTTTTGAAAGCTTTGTCTTGTAATCTATTTCGATGCAACTGGGTTCTCCCTTTTCCGATAGAATTCCTCTTCTACTTATGCCAAAAGAAGGTATTACAATGTCCAAGTTAAAGCCTATGTGCAGTCTTCTAATAGCTCTCTGTTAACCGGAGTTCTGAATAGAGGGGTTTCTCCTTGCCTCGCAAAAGGTGCCTTGACTGGCTTTTCTTTTGCAAGCAAAACAGATGGGGCAGGGAAGGGTCAGGGTTGTAGTAGAGTGTAATAACCATTCTCTATCTCTTTATTAACCATCTTTTCAGATGAAGTTGGGGCTCTTGTTTTTGACATTGGCTCGTATACGGTGAGAGCAGGCTATGCAGGCGAGGACTGTCCAAAGGTGAGAATCTATGTGACTCAAAGGAAATACAACATGAATTTATGCCTTAGATCTTGTTTGTTAGTTGTGAGTTTTCAGAATACGCTGGGTTTTATTCTGACTGTATTGTATAAAGAAAGCTCTAAATTTATGAGCAAATAGACGACCCAAAACATGAATAGTTCTCATATACTGCTTACCTTTTGCCTTACAGGTTGATTTTCCAACAGCCATTGGTGTGGTGCTAGAAAGGGACAATGGCAGCACTCTGATGGAGATAGATGGTGACAAAGGCAAACAAGGGGGCCCAACTTACTATATAGACACCAATGCCCTGAGAGTTCCAAGAGAAAATATGGAGGCCATTTCACCTTTGAAAAATGGAATGAGTATGGTGCTCTGTCTCTTTCTATCTGTTTTTAAAATAGCATTGCTAGGCTGCAAAAAGACATAGCTTTCATGTTGACAGATGCTGTGTATGGCAATGGAAGCTGTAAGAATGGATAACTGATTTACAAGTAATTGCGTAAAGTATAGTTGATTTACAGCGTTGGTGGACTTTTGGCATAATTCTTGATATGTTCTGATCATGATGTTTACAGAGGAATAGAATTCTGCGAAACTATTAAGAGGTGTATGTCTGCTGAGGATAGCTTTTGACTAAAGAGCTCTACGCAAAAAAATAATTGGAAAACCTTTATATATTTATGAAATGGAACAAAACTTAGAAGTAACTAACATGCTCGCTTCAATGTTGTTACAGTTGAAGACTGGGATAGTTTCCAGGCAATTTTGGATCACACTTACAAGATGCACATTAAATCTGAAGCAAGTTTGCATCCTGTCCTTATGTCCGAAGCACCGGTAAGTAAAAGCAGCTTTGCGTTTTGACAAGTCTTAGCTGTATCTTCTTGCTGACTCTACAAACATTGGTCTTGGAAAGTCTGACATTGGCTTGTAGGTTACGAGTGTTAAAACTTAACTACAGAAATAATGGTTTTAAAATACTTTGCCAGGCTCTGGAAAGTAATCTGTTTAAGAAAAATGTCTAAAAAAGAAAACAATTTGAAATAGTTTGTATGAGTTGTATTAGAAAGTATTTACTATATGCTATTATTTTTCACTTCTTGAAAAGAAGTAAAAAAAAAAAATCTCACTTTACTGCCTAGAATAAAAGCAAAAAGATGTTTGGATGTCGTATTAAGTGTAACTTAATACATAATAAAATGCTGTTGAAAACCTGTTGCTTCATTCAGCCTTACAACTAACATTATGTGACAGAATAATATTTATAATGGACAAGTTTTAATTTTTCTGTCTTAATTTCTGTAAATGACCCTGTGAGGTGAGGTAGATGAATACAAGATTCTGGAAAAAAACGTGGACAAGGTTTCTGTCATTTAGTGATGCTTAGCATTTGAAGGACAGATCTTAAAGTCAGAATACAAAAGGTAAACATGCCATAAAACAGTTATGCCTTTCTTTAATAAAATGTTATGAAAAAGATTTTCATTATTCCCTTGAGTTGAATTGTAGCTTTTGGAATATGGGTGAATTTGCAATGGTTATTTCGTATTTGATGGCTCAGTGGGTGTTTGAGTAGAGATTCCCATTAACATTCTCCTTATAGAACTAATCTTACTTTAGTGTATTGGCTTGGAAAAAAAAAATCATGTTTTCAGTAATGTGTAAAATATTTGATATATATCCTGGCTTAATCACAAGTACAGGAAGATACCTTGGAAACAGGAAGATCTGGATTTATTTTTCTTTCAACTGGGCGAGTTATTTCATGTATCTTTCCCCTTGTAAAATGAGCATGTTACTTGTTTTAGATAGTTCTTCGAGAGACTGATACTGGAAGAGCTGTAGAAGGGTAAAGAAATCTCTGTTGTAACAGTAAACACATATATCACTTTTAATTCTGTGTGCTAGATAAGCGTTAATGAATTGTTGTAGAATTGGAACAAAAAAGATTCTGAAGTAAGTTCTTACAGAGGCAGACCTCTAGTAATTTTGATATGATTTGAAACTGTGGCTATAATAATTCTAATTACTTCTTTATTGTCTTAGCATTCTTTTAGCAAGCCCTAATGATCCTCAAGATAAACATCTCTTCCTTTTGGTCACTTATTTGTGATTGGGTTTATTTTTTTTCTTCTAGTGGAATACTAGAGCAAAGCGTGAAAAACTGACTGAGTTGATGTTTGAACACTACAACATCCCTGCTTTTTTCTTGTGTAAAACCGCTGTTCTAACGGCGTATCCTTTGGAATGCTTCACTGCTTTTTTTGTTTCCCTCCCAAGGAAATTTCAGTAAACTTATTCTGAGCAATTCCTAGTATAACAGCATGTCTAACTTTTCTTCTTTTGGATTAATTTTTCCATAAACATCTGAGGAGGAAGTAAACAAATTCCGTTTCTGAACTTTAAAGCTTTAGAACTCAGTTTTGAAGTTCTCCCAACCTGACTATTTTCCTTAGAGGCAACGTCTTTTGAGGGTTTTTTTGGTCTTTTTTATTTTTTTCTCATTGTATACCATGGATAAGAATATTACAGACCTGAAATGGTCTTGCCCAGACTACTAAATACAATAATTAGAGCTTGAAGTTCCCATAGCCTTAAGATTAATATTTGTAATTATTTTAAACTAATAATATGTTTTCAGCTTCAGAGTTGAAATGAGTTGGATGTACTTAGAGCTTGCTGCATAGTACTGATGTGAAGTCTCACCTTTGTATGTCCAAAGTTTAAGTTAGTTCTCAGATAGAACTTAAATGCCATTCTCTCTATGAGGTTGTGTACTTCAGAGAAAGAAGACATGTGCCGGAAAACGGCAAATCCTTTTGTAGTCTCGAGGAATAACACATAGGGGACCTCATTCGTACTTATGCTCTAATTGTATGTCAGTATTTTTTTTTCTAAAGTGAAAATTACAGTATTTTCCTTAATTGTTTTGGCTAGTTTTGCTAATGGGAGATCTACAGGTCTCATTTTGGATAGTGGAGCAACACATACAACTGCTATTCCAGTGCATGATGGATATGTACTTCAGCAAGGTAAAAATTTTCATGGATAACAGCATTGCAGTAGCAAGGTCGAGTTAGCTTGCCTTCTGCTTTTACACCAATTTAAAAACAACAGAAAAACCCTGTATCACCTTAAATACGGGGAAAAAAACGTAATGGTGTTCACTGACAGATAGTTGGTTGGGAGAGTTTATTCGTGATTTCGGGGGGGGGATGTTGGGTTTGTTTCTCTCTTTCTCTCTTTTTTTCTTTTTTTTTTTTCCTTTTAGGTATTGTAAAATCACCACTTGCAGGAGACTTTATTACTATGCAGTGCCGGGAATTGTTTCAGGAAATGAACATAGAGATAATTCCTCCATATATGATTGCTTCAAAGGTGGGAAAGTAACTTTTATTTAGTAAGTGTTTGCTTGAGGAGAGGCTTAAATGGGTAACTGATGATCATGTTTCCTACAATCTCAGGAGGCAGTTCGGGAGGGGTCGCCAGCAAATTGGAAAAGAAAAGAGAAGTTACCCCAGGTCACTAGGTCCTGGCACAACTACATGTGTAATGTAAGTAGGTCATTTCTCCCACTCTCAAACTCCCCTAGGGATCCCTTAAAGAAGTTTTGTTCACGAGCATATCAGGTTTTCCTCTTGAAGAACTAAAATCTTTTTAAAAGTCAGTATCAATGCTATGAATTCTATCAAATTGAAGACTGACATTCTTATATTATTCTTAACTCCACAGTGTGTCATTCAGGACTTCCAAGCTTCTGTCCTTCAAGTATCAGATTCAACCTATGATGAACAGTACGTCACTGTTTTATTTCTTGTAAAATTAGTTATCAGTTGTGCATGGGGTATTTAGCCTCTTCATTGCTCCTGGCTGGTTTTATTACAGAAGAAGTTTTAAAATAAAATCTGTTTATTTCTGAAATTAGAAATAAAGTGTACATCCAGGTGATAAGTTTTTATTTAAAGATGCATGAGATCATAATAAATATCGAAAGCGTAAGTCATATCAATCACAATATTCTAGTTGAAGCCTTGATTTATAATGCTACTTCGATAACATCCCATTTACATTGCACTTGAATGTTCTAGGGTGGCAGCGCAGATGCCAACAGTTCATTATGAGTTCCCCAACGGCTATAACTGTGACTTCGGTGCTGAGCGTCTAAAAATTCCTGAGGGATTATTTGACCCTTCTAATGTAAAGGTAGAACAACTAAGATACGGAGTAATTGGAAGGTTTTAGATTATTGGATTATCACATGGCTTCGTTTTGTATGATGTTCTTAACTTCCTGATTTGTATGTGTGTCTTTGCACTGCGTGGTTCCCTTGGGGGTACAATTTGCCTGTGTTATTTTAGGGTTGGGTAGCAAAGGACGAAATGTAGTTCAAAACAGGTGGTGATGAGCTGAATGGGAAAATAGGAATCTTTATGTTCCTAAAAAAAAATGCTTAGTTCCCTCTCTAGTAATATTTGTAAATTCAACATATTCAAGGCTTCTATGTGCCTTGCTCTTTTGAAGCAATGATGTGTAGATTACTAATTTTAATTCTAGGGTTTATCTGGTAACACGATGTTGGGTGTGAGCCACGTTGTCACAACAAGCGTTGGAATGTGTGATATAGACATCAGGCCGGTAAGTGTTAGTCAGACATGTATTATTTTAAGGCATAGATATTTTTGTGCTGATGTAATTTTTCGGGACTAGAACACTGCTGATGAAGAAACACATTGGAATAATTCTCTAAGTATTATATATTTGTATATAGCAACATGTAAAATTACTGTTTTGTCTTAGCAAATGCTAAATCGGGATTTTTTTACTTAGTGCTTTTACCTGTGTTCAGATAGCTAATGTCCAGATTTTGTGGCTGGCACTGCATAATTGGATTTGCTTCAGATAAGCATTTTATGTTCATAACTTTGAGTGCTATCTTCACATTTTTGGGCGTGGCAGATATACCTTCTAAACATAACCAATCATATGGAACTTGTATAGAGAGTAGAAGGAAGAAAAGAGGTTTTTTAAAAAAAACTTTATTTTTAAAACTGTGTTCTAACTTTCTTAGGTGTTAATTTGAAAATATTCAAGTTTGATATGGACTGCATGGGGGTGGTGTCACAAATTTTTCCTCTTAACTTGTGTGTCAGGCTGGCTTAGCAGGCCAGGCCATGATTTGCATTCACCAACTGCAACATTAGCGAGATTGAAAACTGATGCAGTGCTGTGGGGTTTTCCTTTGTGGTTGGAACATCCAGCTGTAAGGAAACCAAGAGTTCGGATCCAGGAGATAATCTGTAGCTGTAGGGTTCTCAATAGTAGAAAATACTCTGTGAAATCATTTAGAGTCATTCATCACATAGCTTCTGTCTTCCTTGTATAGTTTAATATTAAGCTGTCTTGAAATATTTTTCAAGTGAGTAAAAAATAATTTGGATTGGGAGAGGTAATATTCTTGGCATCAAGTGACATATTATTGCTGTTGATTATATGGTACTTGTGTGCTATTCCTCACTCTTCTGTGAAACAGTTGTTTTCAGAATGATTTCAGAGTTAATATTGTAGGTTATTTATTCTCTTTTTAGGGCCTCTATGGCAGCGTGATTGTAGCAGGCGGAAACACGCTAATACAGAGTTTCACAGACAGATTGAACAGAGAACTGTCTCAGAAAACTCCACCGGTAAAACAACTTTAAATTACTGTGTTGAGTTATTTAGCATTTTGCTTTTCTGGTGCATACATACACAATGTATCATAGCTTTTCACTTTTGTTAGGAACCCAACAGCTGAAGAGATTTCTGTGGGGTAAGAAATCTCCTCCTTCTCTAAAGAAAAGAAGTCTTGAAAAGTTCTTACATGAAATGAATTCCAGCAGATGATATAACTGCTCTCTGAATACTTCTTCATTCCTGCTTTCAGATTGTGATTCTAAGTTCTGTAATTGTCCCTAAGCAACAGTCACTATTTCCCTTGATGGCCTCTCTTCTGAAGTGTTGCTGACTAACTTGAGGCACATTCAGGCATTTTGCCTGAGGTCTTGTCACTTTGTCATGGGAATTGTTCTTCCTGGATTCTACAGACAACTCAACCTGTTAGATAAAACCTGATGATTTAACATACTTGGGTTGGGTTTTTTTTTTCTTTTAATCACTTAATGTCAAAGCAAGTGTTAATACCTTACACTTGTGTTCTTGAGAGCACATACGGCTTACAGTATTTCTTGAATACTCATATTAAAAAAAAACGTTCTACTTGTAGCCACTCTGAAATCATGAATGTTACGTTACTCGCTGCTTCTTATAATAGCTGAGGAGGAACCCACCGAAATTGAAAGATTTTATTGCTACAAGGCATTTTGAAAGTGAAAGGACTACATGAATTAAGTTCAGCAACATTAGACGTTTTAGTCCCAGTGCACATTGTAAGTAGCCCAGTGTTAGAGATGACAATACAAACTGTAAGAATGATGGAGGTCTACCTGCCCTATTTTTAGCCTTACGCATTTGCTGCTGCTCCCTGTTGGGAGACAAGATAAAAACCACATGTGTTCTGTCCCCCTATGGCTATTATTGAATTACAAGTACAGGGCAGATGAAAATTATTGCAAGTTTAATAAAATTGACCTTTTTGACCTGCATGCTGGTATATACACCAACTTTCTTCTGCTGTCCTTCTCCTATCCCTAAAGGTGGCCAGCCTACAACTTGTCTGATTGTTCTTTCATTTTACCTCCTATTCTATTCAGAGCATGCGCCTGAAGTTGATAGCGAACAACACAACAGTGGAGCGGAGGTTCAGCTCATGGATCGGTGGTTCCATTTTGGCTTCTTTGGTTAGTAAACCTGTGTTACTATGTTGGTATGCTAAGCAGCGCTGTCACCCAGAAATCTTAATTGTGCCAAAGTGTGCATTGCAGAGTTTGTGCTGCTGTAGCAATTGTGATCTTGTCTATTCTTGTGGTAAAGTGAAGGGAATCCATTTAAAAAAGACGACAACATGAGCATTTCCAATCAAAAAGTAACTCGCTACAGTCTCCCATTTTTAATGGCGAGGTGCAAACTTGAAGTACAGTACCTAGAAATGACATGTATGTAGTACACCATGAAAGTAGCAAACCTGTTTCTGCATCATATTCCTCAGCTTAATTCTACAAGTTACTGAAATGGTTTGTGGGGATTAAAATTTAGCAGAATGGGAAAGGGAGACTGAAATCAGCTTTCAATTCTGCATCTTCCTGTCTTGATTTGAATCGCTAGCGATATAAAACTCAAAGGAAAAGGTAGTTAAGCAGGTCAAGTCCTCTGGCCTCATTTAATGTAAAGACTTGCTTGTTTTTCCTCCTAGGAAAAGCTAATCATATTTCACTTAACCTTCATTTGTTTTCTGATTGTTTTTTTTTTTGTTGTTGTGTGTTTTGTGTGGTTTTTTGTTTTGTGGTTTTTTTTTTTTTTAGGGTACTTTTCAACAGATGTGGATTTCTAAACAAGAATATGAAGAAGGAGGGAAACAGTGTGTAGAAAGAAAATGTCCTTAAACCTCTTACTGTGAAAACTGCTGCCTGCTCAGTTCTCCTTCTATTTTATAGCTTTAGCATACTCAGGAATGGGATGGACCCCTTTTTTGTAGAAAGTTTATATTGGATTTTTTGCATAATTCAAGTTACATTTTAACAAACCCTAGAAATTGAGACACCTAATTGGTACTATTATAGAAAAAGGATGTTTATGTCCCTTGTAAAGCAATAATTCATGTAACAAGCATTTTATAATTTTGTATAAATGTCTATTTTTCTCTAGTATCTTTTCCTGGGAACAGCTTTACAGGTTAGCTAATAGATAGAGGCATAACCTTGCAAATGCCCATGCAAATTTACTGAAAATCTTTTGTCTACTTTCACATATTAGTCTTCCTTGCTGGTACTTTGGCCTTAAATTGCTCTTATTTCTTTCTTAAAAAATAAAATTTGGTCTTTTATATTTGAGCAACTTTGTGAGTACTTGCAGAGAAAGTTACTCTTCTGTTTTAAAAATGGAAAGTTTGTATTTAGTGATCTACTATAGGTAACTCAGTTCAATGTAAACTTTTACTGTCTGGTGAAAGTGTTACATTCCACTTAGTGAATGTTATATTAAGCACTGGTTTGCTAATTTTTTATTATGGGGCAATTTCATTTCAGTAATCAATCAGTGCTTTCCACCTGATTTCCAAGGATGTATATAATGCCTTTGTGATGTAGGTGAGAAGCAAAACTTATTTGAGCCAGGGAAGTTAATTGTCTCTCCAAGACAAGGAGAATAGTCACAAAAGACCTCAGGCTGTGGCTTGACATGTTACAGGGAGCTGAACTCAGCAGGGCAGTCACTCCTCCTTTACTGCTGGTTTAGCTCCCTTGTCTGACTCGTGGTCTGTAAGTGCCAGCCTTTTGCATGGAGAGCGTGCACTCAGGGCCAGAGGAAGTAGGGTGAACCGGCTGTCAAGATGCAGGTCTATGTTGCTGTTTAAGCTTACTTTAATGTGCAGCTGCGTGATGTTCTGGATTGGGACACAATGAAGTTTTGCTTCTTACCTTAAAAACTGTGGAAAACCAAATAGCATTTAACTGGTTTAAAAAATATAAATAAATGTAAACAGTACTGCTACATTTTTGGTATCTCCACCTTACCTCCAAACAATAAAGTAATTTATCAAAACAGCCTGCTTTTGTCTTATCATGATAACCATGAGTTGCTCTTGAGGCCAAGTTGCTCACTCCAGATTTTTCACAGCTATTGACAAACCATAGTGCACTCACAAAATGAGGCAAACAAGTCAGCAGCTCGTGGTGTTGTACTAGAAGGAAAAGACCTAGCCTAGTGTGCATTCAGGTAGAATGTGGAACGGCAACTGAGCTTGAGTAATGCTTTGTAAAGTTACCATGGCATCAGTGAAGTACTAAGATCGACTGGAGAGCTTGTAGCTATCCAGTGAAGACAGAGGGGGCTCTTTTGGTTTCTCCTCATGCATTGACTATGCATTTTAAGCTTTCCTTCTGTGTCATGTGCTTAGGTTTCATTATGTCTAATCAACTTTTATCTTCTATCTTCTTAAAAGAATTACAGTACAATAGTAGTATCTGTGAATGTTCTAGCAACATAGGGAGAGCAAAGCACTTTCTGAAGCTTTCTCACCCTTGTAAAGAGTTTCTGTTTAAGAAGTGGGTATTTTGTATGACGCAGAGGAGTAACTGAGGGTCAAGATGGAGGCAGATAGACGTATCTCCTACACTTTTGGTTCCCTCGGAGTTCCCCCTGGTTTATCAGATCATATTGCATAGCATGTTTGCTTCCTAGAAAAGTAGTTATGACTTTATTTTAAATTTCTATACAACCTCATCTGAAGGTTAAAAGCTTAGGTATGTATCTAGGTATAAAGACTGCACTGTTAAAAGTTCATGTGCTAAATACTTCATAATTTCTACAGCAGGGAGAAAGTTCCTCGTAGCAGACTGAAGGGTGTATTTTCCCCATGCTTTAATGTAGAAAACACATGTAACTCAGATAATCAGGGGAAAAAAGGCTATTATGTGAGCTTCAGAGGCTCTCAGGTTTCTGTCTGGTTTTAATGCATATTTGTTAAACTAAACCAGGTAAATATCATCCCTACGATTTATACTTTTAATCTGGCAGTCAGTTGTTGCTTTTGACTGTTATTAATGTATGTATCACTTTCATAATAGCTGGTTAATACATTGTTTTGGAAGTGTTTCTAGAAGCAACCATTAGGATTAATTTGAGTTATGCACCAAAGCTGCTTTTTAATTCCAGATCAAAGTTTAATTTAGGTCAAATATGGGATTAAAAAAAAGAAGAGGGAGATGCTCAGTCAAGTTGTTCGCTGGTTTCAGAACATGTTTCATGTTCCAGTCACAAGGATACTTGGCCCGCTGTTTGCGGTTCTCGTCCAGCAGCTTTACTGACTCTGAGATTTTACAGCAAGGTGAGGGAACTTCCTTTTCAAGACCTTCTGCCTCGTCTTCTCTAGGTTTTGCCTTCTTGCCCTTCTACATAAAAATTTTTCAAGTCTGAGTCTGAAATAAAGAAGTCAGTGTGGTTAATTTCGAGGTAGCTTGTAACATGCTTAATTAGCTCAGACCCCTAATTAATTAGAGGCTCCCAGTGATTAACAACTTCAGTATTAATTTGCTTTCGATAAACACAAATACCTGCAAAGCCAACTATTTTTTTCCCTTCTGCTCTTGAATTCTACAAAAATTCAACCTCTGGGAGGATCTTAGGTACCCTGCATGTAAAATGACTTACAATGCAACTTCACAGATAACAGGTCTTTTAATAATTAAGATGGGAACAGAAAAAACCCAGAGGAAGCTGTAATTTTTAAAAAGCCTTCTTTTCAGTCTACTAGCTGTAAAAGTAACAAAACAGGATTACTACTATTTCTTTTTCCTTGCAAAGTGGAATAAGGAGGACTGAGGAACAGATCAGAAAATATAATTGTGTCAAAAAAATCTTTTTACCTGATGAAGTGATTCACATGAGGTAAGTAATAGAATTTCCTCCTTTTATACTTTTTGTTCAAGTACCATGGTATTGGCCATTCCTTATAAGTGTACCTGTAAAGACGGATAAAAGTGATTAGAGAACATAGACTTTTTGTCTTCATTCTTGGATTCTACCAGTTACACTTGGTTACAGTAAGGTGATAAAGTGGCCTGACTGGTAGATTGCAGAACTTGCATGTGGGTACTTACTTTGAGCTCTATTGCTGGCTTGGTTTGTAACTCTACATCTCACACATAGCTCCGTGTCTTTCTGTAGAAGGGCGTTTGAATAGAGGGCCCAATATAGATAGTGATTCTTTGCATTTTTATTTAAAAGTTACTCCTTTGTAAGAAAACTTTCAACAGCTGATGTGAACAAACTGTGGATGAAGAAAGTTTTGTTTCTACTACAATTTTCTTTTAAATGCCCGTGTTTGAATGTCACGTCAAGTGCAAATCCGCCTGAACATAAGGTTTTCCCTCTAAATACAGATTATTATTTCTGTTTGGGGTTTCTCTTGTGTAGGGGCTGCACAGATGGCTTGTGCTGACTTACCTACAGACTCCAGTGCATCCAGATTGTCTCAAACCTACTATTAGTGTATTGCAGAGTTTCTACATGTGCTTAAAGACCACTTCATGTCATCTGCCCCTTTTTCCCTGCTTTAACTGAGGACTGGACTCCTACATATATAGGCAAACCCTGCTTGGAAACACTGTCCACAAAGAAGAAAGGGGCATACAGAAGCCTTATTCCTAGAGATGTAAATCTAGTGGTTAGTGCATTTAGTACTCTGCTGATTTATATTTAACAGGTAAACAGGTTAACAATTCAAAATTCACCATTATTATAAGGTGTGACCTTCTCTTAGCTCCACAGTTAAGAGTGTAGATGAGTACTGTAATTATTGTTTCAGATGCCAATATGATTGAGGGTAAAATACTGGTTAATGAAATAGCAAGTCCTGCCAGAGCCTTCAGCATCATCACCTGAAATTACAGATTACTGAAAATATCTGGGCAATCAACAATTCTAAAGGTAGCAGCTTCTAAGTCAAATATCTACCAAGACTAGCAGGGTATTCCAGTGGATGTTTATGTGGTCCCATGCGATACTCTGGGTAGTGCAGTCAGTTGTCCCCCAATATTTGTGGATTTTGCATTATAGCTAGGGAAGTCCAGATGGTGCAACTTGAACAGTACTCCCTCGTTCATTCACGTGGTACAGACATCCTCTGAGCACAGAAATCATATTAGCTACATAGAACTGATTGCGTTATAGAGTTTTCACTGAATTATTTAGCAGCAATTATATCCACATTAAACAAAAAACAAAAGTCAAGAAGCACCTGAATGCTGCCCAGAAAATACCTTCCTTTCTCTACAGTGTATGCATCCTTTCTTGATTAGATAAGGATTTTTTTGGTAAAGAGACATGCCACAAGAAAATTCACACATATGAAAAAGAAAGCTCTTTTCCATACCAGTAGGTGCGTCCTAGGAAGTCATGTCTCCACTCGCCAGGTACAGGTTTTTCATGGCCAGTTTGTAAAAGCCTCAAAGCAATTTCTCTTTCTCTGACAACCAAGTCTATATTTTTCATAGATTTTTCTACCTGGAAAGAGGAAATAGATTCAGGATGAGCCAACAAAACACAATGTTGACAATTAAAGATCTCAAATGAAGATCTAAGGCAAAATATAAACGAAAAGCAAATGTAAAATGCAGTAGGAGTTCCATCATGAGTAATCTCATAGTTGGGGACTGAGTGAAACAGCAGAACTGTCCCTGTGCACTAGAACAGTAAAGAATGGGTGCTTAAAAAAAACTAACTTACAAGTAGAAGAGAGATGAAGTAACAGACAGTCTGAATATTCATTAAAGACTACCTGGCTAATACATAAAGTCAGATCTAAGGCTGATGCTACAAGTATAGAAAGCTCTGAGGCAGGAAGAAAGTTGGAGAAGCAAATAGAAGATATGCTGTATGTATTTCTGTCAGATGGTTTGTAACAGCTGCTTGTTGTTCTAATTTCCACTTCTGAGGCTGTGACCAGACTCCACAATGCCTGTTGGCTGATGAAGAAGCTGCCTTGACCAAACTATGACACTCAAGGTGAAGGTTTTTAGTCAGGTCTGCCACATAATACTACTGCAACATAATATTACTGCAACGCACAGATGGATTTTCTCCAATTTATTGCATCTTCTCTGATTTATAAGTACAGTGACAAAATGGCAAGAGTAGGAGACCAAATCCTGCCTGACACAAAAAACAGAGATAATAATGCAGTTGCATGTGATGGCAAATATACAGTTAAATGATAAACCATGCAAAGAAATTCAGAGGAACAATGTAAAGGTCAGACTTTTCCCAAATTAATGTGGATAAACAGAGGGGTATCCGAGAATATCTTTCATGTCAGATAGATTATTTAACTGGCCAGTGAAGGTGTGGATTTCCATCAGTGAGACATAAGCATAGACATGGCAGTTGATTCAGAAGTAAATGACATTTTCAATGGTAAAAATACTGAGGAAAGAATTTAATAAATTAGTTGCAGAATGACAATTACCAAAAGGAGGAGATGGCAAAAGTGAGCACAGCAAAGAGCCAAAGG